CACAACCCTGATTGGAACAACCTGAGAATAACACAAATGCTTGCTCAGAAACTGCAGGAGAATTCCTGGAATTGTCACTCCAATCAAATGGCAATCAGGAGACACATGGACATTGACCCAGTCTGCACGCTACTAAGAAAAGATCAATCAACTAGAAACTAACCAGGCAAATCAATAATTAGACATTAGATCAAGAGCATAGGTCAAACGATAATAAAGATCAATTTCTGGTTACAGTGAAGGATAGGTCACCTTCATTCACAAACCAATAACATGCAAGTTTGGCAAATATCCTGTAGAAATATTCATACAATCCGAAATGCTTCACTTCGAAAAGAAGTAAAAGTTGATGGTATCACTTAATCTGATGATAAAAGCCTAATCAAAAATCTCACAGTTAGGAGAACGTCAGGGTAAAGTTATTATCTATATCCTGTAAACGTTAAAGGTTATCATGCCAAATCAAACTTTTGAAAAAACAATGTCGATCACTTATTGTTCATGAGAAAGAATCTCTTCTCATATTTTCATACAAAAACAATGAACGATCTGCATTCCCAATAACATGTACACATATAAACACTTTGAATGTTGAGTTATGGCAATGATCGCATAAATTAACTATGACTAACTAGACTGAACAGTATAAACAGTAAATCAGCTAACCAATGACTTGCACACAAATCGGTACATGGACCATTTGACCGCATATATATTTTGATTCTTAATAAAAATCTGAAATTTCTGCTGAAGAAACTATAGTTTGCATAGCAAAGCGTTTGGGAAAATCTTGTTTCGATTTTCAAAACACACTGAGATTATAATTTCCTATTTGATATTCAATATATATTTGTCAGGACTAGAAAAAGCATAAGAAAAATTTGCCCTAGAGAAAACAGTTTTGGCATCGATTAGCCTAATTTTGTGACTAGTATATCAGTTAATTGATTTCGGTTGAAATGATAAAACTCTAGCCTTCCATTATAACACACTTCAATATTAATGTGATGAATTTACTCTCATAGGGTGTCATTTGTAACTTAGATCAGTAGTAACATGCTTTCTTGAAGATCTGAGTGATGATTTTTTATCAGGACCACTTTTTTGGTTTGAGTGTACGTTCCAAACGCGTTCCAACGTGAATCGGACACCACAAGCAATATCACCTATTTTTGACCAGAATGTTACAGGCCTTATCCTAACCGACCCACCTCAATCAAACACACGTCAACAACAGGTAAACCAAGAGACAAACATCTTAGGATTCAAAAAGATGTTATTAATTCAGCTGTTCACTGTCCAATGCATATAAACAAAATTAGTTTCAATATTGGCGTTATACTGGTACATACGGTATTCGTCAAGAACTTTGAATAAAGTTACATAGGACATACGACAGGTTCAGGTGTTTGAAGAATTACTAGTTAATTCTTTTGAGGTTACGGATCTCTCATACTGATAAGCATCCTATCTAAATTGCCTCCAACTAACACTATAAATGTCAGTATAACACCATACAATATGATAAAGATACTGCTTCCATTCACCGTGTACCACCTCATCTTTCGACAGGTATTCGACTCGTCATTTACGCATAGCTAATAATCCTAGTCTTTGTATCCAGGAGAAGTTTTTGCATCCCTTATCTCTTCATTGGTTAGGGAATGATTAATCGATAACCTTACCATCGAAACTTTTTCCTACCCCTTTCATATACCTCCTATATTTGCGTAGACTTTGGTAGTCCACTTGCATTGTCCTTCAGTATACGTAACATTTATTTTCTAAAGCTTTTGACTTTCTTTTTTATATCATTTGACTAGCTGAGATAGCCGTAGTTTAGCAGACTAGTATTTATACGGAGTGATGATTGAAGGTGAGATAGAAATTTGAAGTGCTGCCGGATTCGAACCAGTGACCACCGGGTTTCCGGTCCAACGCTTACCAACTGAGCTACGAGGTCCGACTGGTGACCAGATTTTTATTTCATTTCTATCACCACTTGATTGTATTTACACTGGGTGCCTAGTCAGGACTTTAATCCCAATACAAATCTAACTGAATTAGAGTGGAAGAGCATCGTATTGACTATGTGGATAGCCGCTAGTATTTATAATGGGTGAAGATTGAAGGTGAAATGAAAATTTGAACCGCGGCCAGTCGGACTGTGTACATTTTCATGCTACTTTCATGATTTTTACCATCATTATCATGTATATTGCAAGTGCTGTAGTCAACATCATTTTTATTATTTGTATTATCACCATCGTTATTGTAAAACATTTTTAACACAGACCGACAAACCTACATGATCGGTCTAATTTTATATACTTTAAGCTATTTGTATTGGAGTAAAGCCTGAAGAGGATCTAACTGTAAAAATAATATTGTTCCCTTATTTGTCTTGTTCTAATTTACATCATGTGAATCTTTAAAACTGCTCATATAAACAAATCACTTCAAGTTATTGATGTTTTAATTTTGAACACTAAGAAACAGCCCCAGTTAGACTAAGAGGAAAAGAAAATTCTAAGAAGTTTATGATATTTAACCATTGAACAAAATTCATGCGCTGGTTTTGACAATTATTTCTTACGTTCTGCATAATTAAGTACTCCATTTTAAACAGTTTCAAGCATTTTATTTGATATGAAACACTAAAACAGAATTATTTACTAAATAAACTGGGAAGTTATAATCTTTACAACTTACTATCTTCATGAATTTATATTTGACTTAGTTAATCTCATTAGAGAAGTATATCATTCTTTTAGTAATCCGGTGTAGTTTTTCTCCTAGACAGAGTATGCTAACTAATTCTACTGCTACTTTAACCTTTGGGGTACGTAGCTGAGAATATTTAGGAACAATTTGATTAATTTATCCATCTACTTTTAAAAATCCAATGGTTTGTCAAAGTCATAAGCTCATTGACTAGCACTGAAAATGAAGAACCATTCTATCTGGTAGATGGTACTACTTCAGTGTGTTATGTCAAATGAACTTATCTATTATGGAATTATACTGTACCTTAGGGTCCAAATTCTAATCTTACATTATTAAAAACAAAGCTAATTTATTTCCTGTTAACCTATTTATTCAAACTATCAATTGCAAGAACGAAATGACTTAGCTACATTAAAATGTTCTTTTTTCATCTCTAAATAGATAAAATATTAGACAGTTGATCCAATCAATTTCAGAGTAATTTAACTACGATCAACTTTGACCGTTATTTGTATCGGACAGTTAATTTTTATGAATGTACAGAGAGCAAACATCAAGCCCTTGGTAATTTATAACTTCCATAAATTCAAGATATGACCTACTTATACTTAAGTATTCTTAGCATTGACTTTACCTGGCATTTTAATCAATAAAACAATTTCTATTTTATAGCTTGTAAGTATCCATCGTTGATTGGACTGAATTGATCAGTTGAGGTGTGGATGCCTCAATATTGCCTAGATTTTCAGTTTAGATTTTAATGATGAATAATGGCTGGTATGGAGTTCAAGACGCACATTTCGTCCACTTTGGGATACGTCAGATGTATACACCTGTTTTCCAGCGAGTGTAATCTCACTAAGACTTGGATCCAGCATCAATCCATCCAAATGCGAAAGTGCTTCCAATTAAGCTGGAGAATCAGGTTAGCCACTCTTTGCACGATAGAAATAGTTTGGCAACTATGACAAAGCTTGCGATTCGCCGCTCAGTGAGTGGTTATCGTAAATCATTGGCCTAGTGGATAACGCTCTAGCATTCGAACGATTGGCCCTGAATCTCTATCTTAATTGGAACAAAAAGTACAGCAGGTACATCAGTCTGACGATACACAAAAAGGATATAATCCTCGTCTGAATTCCCCTGCTAGTCAACATTATTGTTAGTGACAAGAGGAAGATCTTTCCCTATGTCAATAAAACATAACTGTAATATAGCTTGTATAAAGATAAATCTTAAAACTGCAACCCTAAATACGGCCGCATCAATTCAGTAATAAAGAGGCGAATGTCAGACACTATGAGTTCAGTTACAATTACTCTGAAGGTCATCCTAGCAACTGCTGAGATAGCCAGTTACACTTCTTCCTTTTATAAAAATCTACATTCCCAGCCAAAATACCGAAGTCTGATTGATTACCTCAGTAGCTGCTAAAGTGGCCTTTAAATTCTGTCGTTCAATCCCCAAAAGCATGAAAAACACTATACAGCTGATAAATTTGAAAAAAAAACAAATCCCAATCTTTCATCCCACTTATTAAGTTATTCCTCAATACATGACAGGAAAGAGAAGTTAAAAAACTGTTGACCTAAGACATCAAGATTAAAACAGGTTCTATACCTTCAACAAAACATTTCCAGCATTTAGTACAATTGCTTTTATATCATACCGCCGTTGATTGGAACGCACTGATCGATATCTATTGGCATATCTGCTCCTGTGTGAATGCCGCGATATTAACTGTGTTCTGATGGTAGTAATGATGGATAGTGCCTAGCAGTGGAATCCAAGATTCGCATTTCGTCCTATTTGGTACTAGTCCACGGATGGAACTGCTTCCCGGCAAGTGAAGTTAATCCCACCGAGATTCGGACTCGGAAGCAATCCCTCCAAACGCCAGAGCGTTATCCACTACATCACAGAGCCATGATAGCCACTTCCTGTGCGACGGGAATAGTTTTCAGTATAAATATTTCTATTTCATACATCAAGCTGACGAGTTCAAAATAGGAAGAGATGCGCGTCCTGGATTCCACTGCTAGACACTATCCGTCAATACAATCATTCCTAACATATTATCAACAATTCTGAACAAGATATAAACAAATTCTATCAAGTACACAACCTTGATACAAATTCAATCATTTTATATACACAGTAAAAAGATTAGCAGACTGTACAAACACAGCCAAACAGGTAAACATATAACAATGCTTTAGAATATAAACAAAGTTGATAATAATTCACTACATCGAGTTCTCTTCTATCCACAATTAACCTTGCATCAACTCTAATAAAAGTGATTTCAATAGACGTGCTTCATATGTAACAGTATTTTGTCCTGGATGAATTTTCACTGATTCCATTGGTTGTTCAATCACCACTTTTATATCACGTCCATATACTGAAAATGAAAAATTAGTGTAGAGAATTTAACAATCCACATTCTAATGAGATATCGAAACAAAAACAGTCTAATCATTTGTTGAATATTCATAAGTAAGAGAAATTTGTGATAATGTCAGCTAATTGTTGGGAGTTTTAAAAATTCCCATCATGTCTTCTTCTAAATATTGAGACAGACACGTTCCTTATGTGGTGGTGTGTGTGTGTGTGTGTCGTTATCCAAGACTAGACCTGATGCATATTTTGGTGATCCATTATATTCATACTGCAATCGTCGATCCACTAATCTTCCCCTTAAACAAGACGATCACACGATTCACAAAAGTCTTCCTAATGTATAGATAGATAGATAGACAGATAGATGAATTGTGAATACACGGTTCACCTTTATCTCTGTCAACTGTAAAATAATACTTCATCAGGTGTATTTCTTCTTTAAACAAAAGGTGTGGAGTGATTGGATTTCTTTGAATGGTTACAATAGCTTTGGAAAGTTAGTGAAGTCGAAAAGTTGAACGTTGAAATAATAGGTTTCCAACACAACAGCGCATTCCCTTTGTATATACTCACACCTATTTTGCAGACATTGTATGGCTAATTATCTGATTATTTGGTGGTGACTAGTAGATGTATTCAGGATGCGTTTTTCGTCCTATTTGTGACTAATCATTCAGGTGTATATGCACCATAGTGAGTGATGTTTCTACTGAGTCTCGAACCCATCACCCGTCTCCCTTTTCACAAGTGTCTCACTAACAGAAACCATCTGCTTAATAAGTGAATTCATCGAATGTCATAACATAGATGTTGTTCTCCCAATTCACAACCTAAAAGAGCTTCTCCTTCGATTTACCTTCATTGTACACTTCAGATTTATTGATCTACAGACAGAAAGTATAGCAATGGGTTCTCTCCTAGTTGACTGGTTCATGGCAAACCTGGAAAACATCAACTTATCATCAAAAATCAATGTACTTCATTTTCAAAAAAGATAAATGGATGATACGTTTATAGTTTGTGATGAAAATAAGAATCTTACAAACTTGCTTCAAACCTTCAACAACGCCCACCTTCCAACAAAATCCACTCTAGAATCAGAATTGAACTCAACCTTCTTGGTGTTTAACTCCAAAGAAAAAACGATAATTCACTTCTTAGATCGATCTACAGAAAGTCTACATGGAGCGGACAACTTGTTAATTTTCAAAGTTCAGTCCCTCTATGCAAGAAAAGAAATCTTGTCCATTCACTTTCCTCGAGGATCAAAAAATATGTACTGAGGACACTGTCGACGAAGAACCGCAAACACTTCGACGAACTCTATCAGAAAACAGTTTCCCGCTCAGATTCATAGATAAGAACATAAAGCCAGAGGACCCAACTAAACGAACACATTTGGCGCCGATAAAAATTTTTTCTTTGAATCTGAATTCAAAAATGATATTGCTGCAGAGATCCTGAGGAAACGACTATGAAAATCCATAAACAGAACATACTTCACCGCCAATCTTCTCCTGCAAGAAACTTTCTTGGCCAACGTGTGAAAGACAAGCCGACGCATTGGGCCACATCAGTGCGTGTATACCAGTTTACTTGCTCTTGTGGAGCTGAGTACATCGGCCATACCATGCGTCAGCTTGCAAAACAAGCCCGTGAACACTACCCAGTCTAGCTGGCAAAGGGGGTAAGGAAACGTATCTTCAGTTCAATAACAGAACGCTTCATGAACTCAGGCCACTTAGCTCCTTTTGAGATCTCATTCAAAATTCTCTACAGGGTTCAATCAAACCACTTGAAGGGATCAACATCAAGGCATTTGTCTACAGCTTAAGCATTAGTGATCCAGAAGTTCAAACCAGCATTATGCGTCCAAAAAAGGTACGTTCAATCTTTATCTTTGCCATGGCCATTATAAAGCCTTGACTACCATAGATTCATTTTATATTAGATTACTGTGTATTTACAAACTTATTTTCATAATCCTCTGTTTGTTTTCCTACTCTGTTATAGGTTTATCCGGTATTACGTGATGGCAGTTTTATTTTAATAACCCTTCGTTCATATTCCTACTTTGCCATACATTCATTTTGTATTTCACAATTACATTTAATTTCATAATCCATTGTCTATTTTTCCACTCTAAACTCAAGTGTGTATTAATTCACTTCCTCTAATTATGTTAATGATGGATCGTAGCTAGCAGTGGAATCTAGTGTGCCGATTTAGTCCTATTTGGGACTCGTCAGCTGGATGTACCTGTTTCCCAGTGAGTGTTTGTTCTCACCGGGATTCGGACTCGGGAGCGATCGCTTCAAACGCCAGGGTGTTATCCACTACACCACCGAGCCACGATAGCCACTTCCTGTGCGACGGGTAGTTTTTAGTATAATTGTTTTTATATGATATCATCGTTGATTATTATTCAATATATTTCGTCCCCTAACCGGAAATGACTTCATTGAAAAGAAAATTTTTGTTCCGCTGCAATCACGTTTTGTCTTTTCCGATAAAAATTTTGACCTAATTAGATTTTGTGCTCTTCTATTTAACCTAATTGACCTTACAATCGTTGCAAGAGATTTGGTAAACTAAATTATTCTACTTAATTTGAACCTCTTAACTTTAAAATATCTTTGTGTATTCTTATCTGAAATCAATATCAGGTCAAGTGTGATCTTGTACATAATAATAATGCACCTTGATTGTCGAAACCAACTATAAGTCTAAATATGTGACCATGTATTCTTTTTTATGAACACTATCACTTTTTCTCGATATCCAACTGGAATACATAATGTTAGTGGGAAACTTATAAGTCATCAAAATGTGGATCTGTATTTCTGTTGTTCAAACTTCAATTTACTGATAGACAGCTGAGCTAGAAAGTTATTCTTGTGTTACAAATATAAACAAATCACCAGCAAAGCTTTGAAATGCGTGAGTAAACATGCACTGGCATTATTTTGCCCTAATCGGTCATCACTTCAAACTCTTGAGGTCTTACTACCAATGAATACACTGTAAATGACGAAGACAATTTCGGTTGATGGAATTATCGAAGGGTGAAACATGTGTAACAGATTCCAGTACCAAATATACTCAGAATACGATCACAGGAAATATCAATAAACCTATGTTAATAGTCTATGCTGTAATGGAAACCGGTCATTTAAGTCTTATAGACCAACAATGAGAAATTTGAAGTTTCGATAGTTAGTGGTTGTAAGTAATGCATATTCCAGGCAACTGATTGCATACTGAGAAAATTGATGATAAACTTATTTGTTGAAAAATGAAGTTGTTTATTCGAAATCATAGCTCGATACATTTTTTCTTCATGATGACATTCTGGATGTATAGTGGACAGACAAACAGACAAAATCAACACAAAACCTTGCACACAAGTATATCAGCTCAAGTTACCACACATCACAGTAGTATACAAAGAACAGGTGAATGGAAAAAGACTGTTATCAAAGTAGACAAAGGTGTATGCTAGGAAATCCAAGTTAGTCAAAACATTCAAGCATTAGAAGATATCATAAAGTGAATACATCTACACCATTATGACTGATTTTCAGCTATGTCACTAAGTGTTCCCAACCACTGATTCCCATCGTTACGAGGACCTAAACAAGATAGTCTACACGTCACCTACGCCTCAGACTAACAATCAGAGACTTCATAGGATAGCTTGAACACCTTATTAAAGGCGATAATTTAGTTCAGAAGTATAAAAGCAAAAATATAGGCTTAATCTAAATAATCAGTTATACATAAAACAACAAAAACAGATAGACCTACATTCGCAATGTTCTAAAAATTGTATGCAATCGACTAAAACGGCATCTCGTAATAGAATCATATGTTTAGACATATTTTCAATTAAAGACAGAAAGCAACGTTTGGCATAATACCTAAATAAATTAAACAGTTAAATGATAATCAAAAATGTATAGTAGTTTTATATAAGTTTGTCCTTAATAAAAATCACTGTCGCATTCATAGGCCAATCTTTGTCATCCGATATTTTCATAACCTAGTGTGGAGCATGGGGTAGTGGATAGAAGGAAATCGTTGTCCGTGAACAGTTAGAATATATTCACCTATTCAATATCGGTAATTTTGTTTATTTGCCAAGTCATCAGGTCATTTTTCTCTGTTTAGAAAAATCAGTATTACAGTTAATCAGCTTTAAGCGCGACCTACTGACTGTAGCAGAATAAGTTAAGAGGCAATCCAACAGTAGTCAAAGAAATTCTTTGAAGTAATTCATTAGATCGATGAGTGTAGATCTAGGCCATAAAGACAGGTATAAGGTACTTAGCTACAGCCATTAAGACATCAAGAATCAGTCTTTCATAATGTTGGGTGATACAGCTGAGAATTTGATTACAATGGTGTGAATACATTTTACTGTTTGACTTCTACTGTTTGCCCTCCCGTGTATGGCAATCTTTGGGGCTGTGACTCATTGGTCTGGATGTTCGACTTCCAACCGATAAGCCACGAACTCGAATCCCTTTCTACCTATGGACGTCTATACATTTTGTTAGCGAGCATTATTGGCCTTCACACAAGATATGTACCTCATGGCTTACTGTCACGGCAAGCATATAGTTCCTAAGTGCATTGCGATTTCTTTTTTAATTTTCTCCTATTTTTTTTGACTTTCTTTTTCTTAGCAGTATGTTAAAACCGTGGTATTACAGAGCTATACAGATGACAAGTGAATAATTTATGTGCCTAAGTAACACATCAGATCACAATCAACATCGTGCTCCAATTGTTGAAGAAAACTATTGAACACTAACAATCAAATAATCACATTATTATTACTCAGTGTTTTTCAGAAAATAAGCCGGAAACTTAACATAGGGAGCTGCAAACAAGTCCATAACTTCGAATAACCATAATTTAGATTAAAAAACATATTAAACATATAACAAAAAAGCTAGATAAGTATTGATAAGAAAAGTTTGCATTACTTTTACGTTTTAAGATTAAGAAGATTTCGAGGCAGGCAAGAAAGAATGAGTGCCTAGTGGTATTGAAAGATTTTAACCAACATTACCCACCCACTGACTGTTCCCTTCTTCAACACTTTAACCACACAGCTCACTTTTTTCTGAAGTTTGTGCTGATGATGTTATCTAAAATGATAATGAAATTTCTACAACCAAACCTTCCAGCTCAGAGAACACAATACCATCAAAACTTTTTAACATGGCTGAGATCAGTACCAATGATTTCATGGTTTAATTCATGCCTAGGTCTGACTCCTTTAACTTTCCTTCAAACCGAATGTGTTCCAGCCAACATCACATGTGACAGCTGTTTGCTCGACATGTTTAATATTTAAGTGGACTTATTTTTCTTGGCAAAAGGTTGGTATCTTACTTTGACATTACTCAGTCAGTGATTTTGTAATATTTTGAGAGTACCATGAAGACACATATGATACAATGCATGTTATCTTTCTACATGGTGTGAAGTATCTGTAGCTCAAAAGGCTGATCTTGTTAGTACTGTGTTCTCTGCGGCGAAAGGTTTACTGTTGAAGTGCTTATTGTCATACTGAAAACAAAAAATACCATGGTATTTTATACTAGTCAGTAAGAAGTCGAGACAGAGTCAAGTAATAATAATAATAATAATAATAATTCTGCTTAACCAGATATAGGAACTAAAACAGTCCATGTATTTACGGGACCTTAGTGTGATTGCAAGGATTAGTAAATAAGGTCTTGGAGTGAATTATTCACATAAGAGACTAAGTGTACAGATAGGTAGTAGTAATAATAATAACAATATTCATTTTATTCCAAACAATTTAGAATTCGGTCTTATGTAGTTTCTTCTTACCCTCATTGAGGAGATACAAGGTAAGAGCTGTGAATGAAGTGGATGCTCAGTGTCAGTCAAAATAACTGTAGCTAGTTGCTTGCTAGAATTTGTATTTCTGTCAACTTCAGTGTTAATCAGTCGAGTCAGAGGCACAGCATTTTCCCTACCAATGGCTTTCAAAGCCTTACGCAATATAACACAGTCCTTTTTTAGTAGACCAGGAAAGATCAGTGGGATGTAGGAATTAATAAACTGTAAAAATAGAAGTAACCTCGCCAGGTTAACTAGTTCACTGGTTACTAGCCGGTCCTAAGCTCGGGTAAAGAGGGACTGGACCATGCAGCGAACCATGAGGAGCGAGAAGAAGGGCATACGCTGGTTGAACCGATGAAAAGACCCCAGAAGATTTGGATTTCACCGATCTTAATTTATATGTCTTATGTCGCACAAACTCCAAGATCTACAGGCGAAAACTAACAAGTTGACAGAAGAAGCGAAGACAGGACTTCAAGTGAATGTAGAGAGGACGGAAGTGATGAAGATACCCAAACCAACAACAGCATCAACAACAAGCACCAACCACCATCAAGAAGAGAAATCTAAAGAAAGTAGTCTCTTTCACCTATCTAGGCAGCATCGTCTCAACTACAGACAACGGCACAGACGAGGATGTCAAAACCAGAATCGGAAAATCACGACAGGCTTTCATTAACCTGGAATCAGTGTGGAGATCTACTGCACTCAGCACAAACAACAACATCCAGATTTTCAACACTAATGTGCTATATGGTTCAGGAACTTGGCGCGTCACGAAAAGCATTTCCAACAAACTGCAAACACACTTCATCAACAGCTGCCACATACACTCACTCGATACTCAAGATCACATCAGATGGTCAGAAGGAATAAGCAACAAGGAACTCACTCTGGCAACGAACCGACCAAGAATCTATTGCTCCACAAATATGTACAAGAAAGTGGAGATGGATTGGGCATACACTGAGAAGATTGTTTGGTGACATCATGTGCCAGGCGAAGCCGTCGAGTGGAACCCGTATGCCAAAGGACGAGTTGGATGTCCGAAGGTGATATGCAGGCAATCATGTGAGGAGGAAATGAAAGCTTGTTGGCAGTCGTGTTGCCAGGTTGGAAAGACTAAAGAGAACAGAATGCAATGGAGGCGTGCTACCGAAGCCCTATGTTCCACTATGAACCTAAGGAAAAAACAATAATAATAAGTAGAAATTGAGTTATACCAGATAAATATTAAAGACTGGTGTTGGAACATTAGTGATTTAGTGAACCACTAACTAACAAGCCCTTTCTTTGCCAGCATTTCAAAGCTATATTCAACTACAGTATTAACTAAAGGTAAGTTGAGGCTTGTAATACTAACGAAATTAAGCGTTTAGTGGATCTAAGGTTCTTTCTTTGTCCCATCCATCTTACACGAAAATACCAACCCATAAAAAATACGGACTATTATTATTATTATTATTGGTTCAGTTTTCGGCAGACTGTATAGTTGGTAATCATGAGAGCTAGAGATATGCTGAAGCAATAACTTACCATGTATCTGATCCAAGCTTTTTTTGATATGGTTCTAGACTTTTGATTACACGACTAATGCCAAAATCATAATTCCCCTTAGCACAATACAATGTTCCAATGACTAAATTCACGATACATAAATGAAATACTTTCCTTTCTGGATCTTCATAACTAATAGCTTCTTCTTCTTTTTCAATTTTACGCATCAATTCTTCAGCATCTTCATTTTGACTTGTCATTATATAAGTGACACAAAGATTGGCTAATATTACAGCACTAATATTCAATAAGTTATCAAACTGTCTTTTAACAATTGGTTCATAGAATCCACTAGCTTCTTTGTATTTATTCTCTTGCATAAATAGCACATGAGCTACATTCAACTTCCATACACGATGATCATTACAGAATTCAACAGATTTACGAAATATTTTCTCTACCTAGAAAGATAAAATATTAAATGAGTTACAGTTTAGTGTTTTACCACTGATAAGAACACATACAAGTAATGTAAAGCGTATAACTTCAATGCTTAAAACAGTTAGCTTATAATGAATGAATCAAGAAGTAAAAGATATAAGAAGTAAATAAAAAAGGCAAACAAAGAATCAATGAGAATAATTGAAAGATATCCCAACTCTAATGTAGAATATAAAAACTATTCCATGAGCTATATTGAATGTAAGATGCAATTGAATAGTGAAAGTTTCATACTCTTTGGTTGACGTTGGCTGAATATTCAAAATCGATGATTGAATGTTCTAAATAAAATGAATTGAAATTCAGTGTAGTGAAGTCACTCAGTAAATCTTAATAAAATTTGTACATTCCGGAGTTGAGATATCATATTAAAATGACAGCCTACATCAAGTTTTAAGGATAAGCAATCAAAATAACTTCCTTCAAACAAAGGATGAGTAGTTATTATTTACTGATACTTATATTAGTAACTGATACCAGTTGTACAAGAGGTGAATCTCATGCCTCAGTGGACTAGTGAGTAACACTTTGACATCGAAAGCGACGGCTGATAGGTTCGAGACTCAGTAGAAACAACATCACTCACTATGGTGCATATACACCTAAATGATTAGTCACAAATAGGACGAAAAACGCATCCTGAATACATCTACTAGTCACCACCAAATAATCAGATAATTAGCCATACAATGTCTGCAAAATAGGTGTGAGTATATACAAAGGGAATGCGCTGTTGTGTTGGAAACCTATCCATTGATAGATAGATAGATAGACAGGGAAATATCATGTTTCAACGGTCAACTTTTCGACTTCACTAACTTTCCAAAGCTATTGTAACCATTCAAAGAAATCCAATCACTCCACACCTTTTGTTTAAAGAAGAAATACACCTGATGAAGTATTATTTTACAGTTGACAGAGATAAAGGTGAACCGTGTATTCACAATTCATCTATCTATGTATCTATCTATCTATACATTAGGAAGACTTTTGTGAATCGTGTGATCGTCTTGTTTAAGGGGAAGATTAGTGGATCGACGATTGCAATATGAATATAATGGATCACCAAAATATGCATCAGGTTTAATCTTCGATAACCACACACACACACACACACACACACACACACACACACACACACACACACACACACACACACATAAGGAACGTGTCTGTCTCAATATTTAGAAGAAGACATGATGGGAATTTTTAAAACTCCCAACAATTAGCTGACATTATCACAAATTTCTCTTACTTATGAATATTCAACAAATGATTAGACTGTTTTGTTTCGATATCTCATTAGAATGTGGATTGTTAAATTCTCTACACTAATTTTTCATTTTCAGTATATGGACGTGATATAAAAGTGGTGATTGAACAACCAATGGAATCAGTGAAAATTCATCCAGGACAAAATACTGTTACATATGAAGCACGTCTATTGAAATCACTTTTATTAGAGTTGATGCAAGGTTAATTGTGGATAGAAGAGAACTCGATGTAGTGAATTATTATCAACTTTGTTTATATTCTAAAGCATTGTTATATGTTTACCTGTTTGGCTGTGTTTGTACAGTCTGCTAATCTTTTTACTGTGTATATAAAATGATTGAATTTGTATCAAGGTTGTTTACTTGATAGAATTTGTTTATATCTTGTTCAGATTTGTTGATAATAATACTAGAAATGTTTGGTTCAATGAACAGAAGCTGTTTTATTCTTGATATCTTAGGTAAACAGGTTTTAACTTCAATTTCCGACTAATGTTACTTCGTGATAGATGCCAACTTGAAGTCAGTGAATCCTTACAAACCTTCCTGATTTAATTATTTCCATTTATTTATTGGTTTCCTGTGATTAGTATTATTATCATTATATTATTATTATTATTGTATCATCTCACAAGTTGTAGAAGCTTTGGTTAACATATAGGCAGTACTGAACGAGTGGTTCCTTTCACAACTCAATCAGCAAACGTTAAATTAAAGCCAGTTACATCAATAATTACTTTTATATGCAGTCGTAATTGTGTAATACAATCTGACCAAATATTTACTTGTCAAGTCAATTTATATATGAAAATGAAAAAAACTAAAGGTCAAATATAATGAATATGAAAAAGTTATGACACGAGTTTTCGTAATATAATCAGATAAGGATTAGCACGGTAAATGCCTAATGCTTCTGCGAATTCTACTATGCCAAAACGCTTTAGTTATATGTTAATAAATGTCTGACCTGTTGATAATTTTCCATATCCCAGTAAATTTTGGCTTGCTGCATCAATACAGGTATGTAATTCTCCAGTGCTATATCATATTCGTGTACAGCACGTTTCACTGCTTCATCATCTTGGGCTTGTCTAGCTTCTTGAACTGTTTTAGTCAATCTTCTTAATTGTTCTGTATGCTTAGTAGCCATTTGATCAAGACGACTTGAAGAAATAAGAAATACCAAAATAAATCAAAAGATTTATTTAACATATGTTCTATGCAATCATTCCTTACAATCTAATAAAAACTAATTTATTTACAATATCAAATGAGGTAATAGTGGTATAATTTACTAACTGATGATTGTGATGCATATTAATAGAGAAATGAAAACCATAAGCTTCATCAACTGGATATGTCCACTTTTCATAAAGTGATATCATCACTTAGAGGAACGAACTGTGTATAAGGCTGACAAGAAGCAACTTAAATTCAAGTCAACATTTTAAGTCATCAATCATTAAGACAGAAATTTTATCTTTTAATTTTTGTTTCACTTCCCTGTGTGGTGAAGAAAAATCTCATTGGATAACTTATCCTGCAGTTGACCAATCAGAATAAGTGTTTAACTTTCGACCTTGTAGCTTTATATATTTGTGGAAATTGTATATAAAGACGTATTTCTGTCAAATAAAATATCTTCTTTATAGTCAGAGGCCAGTTTTTGCTTTCTGATTTTCGTGACTCAGTGAATCAGAAGGTTCAAAGAGAGAACAATCGCTATTTGTATCCAGCCTAAGTGTTTTATTACGTTAATATCTTTTGAATTTTGAGGGAGTTGTGGAGATTTGGAATTATTTCGAGTTGTTATTCATCGTAGACTGACATCAGTTGGAGTAGCAAAGGAAACCTGAGAGCACTGGACAGCTGGTGGGGTCGTGGGTGCGCATTGCTGAGGAGTCCCAAACTAGGACGAAACAGCTGTCCAGTGCTCCCAGGTTTCCTTTGTTCCTCCAACTGATGTCAGTCTACGATGAATAACAACTTGAGTTAATATCTTTTCTAGATTTATTATTATTCTCTCGGTTACTTCAAAGATATAAACAATAGATATTATTGATGGAAGTCTGAAAGTCATTGTTATTCAGTCAACGGGTGATATCGTAACATATGTATACAGGGATTGAAGTTAGCAGCTTTCAATTGTTTTCGCTACATTAAATCGAGAACAAAGACTCAATAGTTAATGCAAAAAGCAATATAATCCACAGTTATTATCTATAATAATTTTACAATTATTTAATACTTCGCCGCTCTATTATTATTATTATTATTTTTATTTGTCACTTTGGTTCCTAGTCGAAAACAGGGCTGCACTCTGTTCTCTACAACTTCTTGGTCCTGGCTGCACGACTGCCCAGAAGCTCACATTCCTTCCTCACACCATCTCCTCCATGCCAGCCTCGGACACATAACTCGTCGTTTGGCATACGGGTTCCACTCGAGGGCTTCGCCTGGCACATGATGTCATCAAACAATCTTCTCAGTGTATGCCCAATCCATCTCCACTTTCTTGTACATATTTGTGGAGCAATGGATTCTTGGTCAGTTCGTTGCCAGAGTGAGTTACTTGTTGCTTATCCTTTCTGACCATCTGATGTGATTTTGAGTATCGAGTGAGTGTATGTGGCAGCTGTTGATGAAGTGTGTTTGCAGTTTGTTGGAAATGCTTTTCGTGACGTGTCAAGTCTCTCAAGCATCACATGGAAGCATTGACTTGACTGACTTAGTGATGATTGGTACTCGTTGTTTTAGTTTTTGCCTGTAGACCTTAGAGACTGTGCGACATCACACATAAATCATGATCGGCGAAATTCAGATCTTCTAGGGTCTATTAGTTTGTCAACTAGAGTATGCCCATCTTCTCATAGCTCCTCAGTTTTTTGCATCATCCAGTTCACCACAATCACGAAGATAGTCGGTGATAGTTGGCCGCAACTTTGTCTCACTCCTGTATTCACTTCAAAGGCGTTACTGAACTGTCCATTGTCAATCGCTTGGCATGTAGCATCATATAGGATATCGCTGCTGTCGAATGAGGTCAATAAAGGTTTGTGGCACTAAAACCGAAGTGTTGAAGCGGTTGCCAAATTACTTCTCGGTTGGCGCTACCGAAGGCCTTTTCAAAGTGGATGAAGTTGAGGTACAGAGGTGACTGCTATTCTATGCCATGTATGATGATACGTAGCGTAGAGTTGCAATTTGATCCACACATGATTTGTTCTTCCTGAAGCCAGCCAGCCAGCTAAACTGTTCAGGTAGTAATTTTGAATCCAGCGTGTTATTTAGTCTCTCTAGAATGATGTGGCTGGATATTTGTCTTCGGATGGACAGGGGTAGAACATGATTCCCCGCCAGTTCTAGTTCTTGCAAAGACTTAGGTCGCTCACCCTTGCTTGAGAGTTTGACTAGGTAGCCCTTCTTCCAATCTGCAGGTACCTTTCCTTCCTTCCAGACCTTCTGCAATAATGGTGTGAGCATGCCCGCTGATGTCTCTGCGTTTTCTTTCAGTGCTTCTAGAGGAATGTCCACCACCTTAGCACTGCATTAATAAAACAGTTTCACCTGAAAACATATTGAGAAGGTGATATATTAGAAATCCAACTGTTAAAATATACTAGTGAGTGAAAGGCACTCAAAAAATAGACGTGATAATATCGTATTATCGGTCTAAGCTGTCAAATTTCACATCAAAATTTCTAAAAAATAGTAAGCGAAATGACAAAATTGATAGACTTCGGCTATCATAAGACTATAAGCAGAGAGGATACAAGGAATTACGACACGTGACAACAAAATTACCAAGATTTAAATGTGAAGGCTGAGCTTAGATAAATCTACTTTGATGAGATTGGTTCCAAGTCATATTGCCGAATGCTTACAACTGTTAACTTCATTTTTTTCCAGGACCACAAACAAGAAGTGAACACTTCCACCTATTACTATTTATTGACAAATTTTAATTCTCCATGATTTTATTGGATCGAATTGTTCGACCTCCACATATGTTTGTTAATAATAACCAAAGACTTTATAGATAGGCATTGTGCACTAATCTGGTTATTCTTAGTTTTTCAGCTTGACCTTACCTCAACTAACTTAGCACATCATATAAGGCGGTAGAGCACTACGCGGAAGGTATCCCTGTCACTTCAGACAATGAGGATCAATAAGTTTATTAGCTGAATTAACCACTACATCTAGTACTCCAGTTTTACTCACACAGATATGTAAATCTGACAAAAGTCATTAAACGACTACAAACCATTTACTTTCACAGACACAAAATAGTACAGTGTAGTATGTATGGTTTTTCTTCGGTGTATAAAAATTACGCTGTCACTAAGAATAGTGTCAAATACTGAAATACAGCCCTGCATTTTTCATCCGGGTCGAGATTTTTTCTACTGATTGGTAGGCCTTCAGCAAGTTGATATAATTATTAAATACCCTTTATAGTCAAACAACACGTTAAAGTCAGTTTATTTACAGAGTTAGATAATTCGGGATACAATCACATATCCCCGATACGATGATTAGCAGGTAAACCTACTGGAAACCCCATCCAGGAAATAATAATGTATTATTTAGTATTACACAAAGTGCACAAATATAACAAGGAGACAGATATCACAATGCGATCAGCTAAAATGAGTAAATAGCAAAAGTAATTACAACTGATCTTACGCAAACTAAAATTCTATAAAGCCAACAAACACTTAAAATGTACAGTATAGATCTATACTACTTTTAAATGCCCAGTAGTTTGACAAATTAAACTTGTCTTACATATAAGCATCCTGCGGTGCTGTTTGACGAAGGATTACTGCTTCAATAAAATCAAATAAATCTGGTGATAAATATTCATACGCCAATGATGCATTCTCTGCCATTACATCAGCAGCTAGATCAAAATATTCATATTTAATATACAACAGTAAAAGATTTGCAAATGTCTCTGATGGAAAAGTTTCTTGTTGTAACAAAAATTGTAGCTTTTGAAAACCAGTAGCTGGTTCTGACTCCATATTCATTATGGCTTGATTATGTAGTGTAATGTGGTCAAGTTCTTCTTCAGCTCTTGGTGGCATATCTGTTAATGCTTCAGATGCAGCAATATAGTTTTTTAAATTGAACTCAATAGCTGCCTAAAATTTTAATGTAAAAATGAAATAAGACAAAATAATACTCGTAACTAGTGTAGGAGTAAAACTTGGGCATTCTAGTAGATCGTTATTCTACTTAAGTCTGTTTATTAGAGATGTCACATAGTGAAGCAGTATCATTTACTGGATTACGTTTCGGACATAATTTATTGTCCATATTCATATCAGCAGGCAACTCCACAACTTTTAGATATAGTTTATAGATTACTATTTATTGACACATTTGTTATTCTCCGTCGTTTTGTTGGATCGAACTGTTCGACCTCTATTGGCATATGAGTTCCTATGCGGATGCCTTGACATTGCCTGAATGTTAATTATTATGATTTGGTTGGTCGAACAATTCGATGCAACAAAACAACAGAGAATAACAAGTATATCAATAAACAGTGAAGGAATATTAATCGTTGTACAAGAAGCAGCTATCGTTCCTCCGTGACATAGTGAATAATACCTTGGTGTTTGAAGCGATGGGCACGAGGTTCGAGTTCCGGTGGGGACTACACCACTGGGGTGCAGTACATCTAGCTGACGAGTCTCAAATAGGACGAAACGCACGTTCTGGATTCTTCTCCTAGCCACGACCAACCAAATCATCATAGTTTGTATGGTTCTAATTTCCTCTCCTTCTCTATGATGACAAGGGTAGTAGAAGTTTCCATATATCTACGAAAAGTGTAGAATCATTTCCATTACATATATTTGATGTTGATTCGATAAACAAAAATTCGGTTATCAATCTCACTCTCCACTCAACTAAGTTAATTCTTAATACTGTCGCCCTATCCCACCCTATTGTGTGATTATATGTTATTGCATGCATAGCTATAGCCCAACTTTTCTCTAAATTTCTTATTCTACTAGGATCTACTAATCTTGATTTGGCTATATTTTTGTGCTCTGTTGTTGTTCAAAGTGACTTTGGTCGAGTACTTTGACCTATGTGTTTAATCTTGTAATTATTGGAAGGGATTTGGTAAATCAAATTATTTTACCTGATTGGGTCAATAGGACCTTTACACGAATATACCGATCGACATGGCTCAAAAGGCAGTTAGAAATGAGCTTACGAATGATAATGAATTAATGCATCAAACTAAGGTGCCAATCAAGGAAATCATGCTAGGAGTACGATTGTGCTTGATGTCTACAGTTTTTGAAATAAAATGTAAAGAAAAAACTGAAGAGGTTGCCGTGGGACCACTCATATCTTCTATCATTGCAGATGGGAACTCATGGTCTTCCAGTACATTCAGTCCTACTCTAAAGAAATGCTTCCAGTATGTAGATGACACGTTTATAGTACTGAAATCGGAACACACCAACAGGTTCTTAACATATTTAAATTCAGTAGCGAAAGCAATTCAATTTACTTGTGACTTAGAAAGTGATGAAGGTGAGTTAACAATGTTGGATTGAGAGAATAAACGAAAACAAGATGGAAGTTTAGAGACTAGTGTCTATAAAAAAACCCTTCCCATTCGAATAGCTACTTTGACTTCAAATCATCTCAGCCCATCATACTTAAAGTAGGCTTGGTTATATGGATAAGTAATAGGGTAAAAAGGATTACTAAAAGAAATTAGATACATCAAAACTATCTTACACTTCGATATCTACCCAGCTAAATTTGCAGATAAATTCATAAGAAATCGAAAGAAAAATGTGAGCAGTACTGGTACTAACACAGGTGTTATTAATACTAATTCTACTTATAATAGTAATGATGGTGACAGAGTTAAGAGAGAACTCAAAGCGTCTGCTCTCTTACCATACAAAGAAAGCACCTTAAGAAGTTTTATGAAGAATTCTCAATAAGGCTGGGATTAAAGGGATATTTAAACCGACAAACTTGCTTAAGAACAAGCTGTGTAGGCTAAAAGATCTCATTGACCCAATCAGGTAAAATAATTTGATTTACCAAATCCCTTCCAATAATTACAAGATTAAACACATAGGTCAAAGTACTCGACCAAAGTCACTTTGAACAACAACAGAGCACAAAAATATAGTCAAATCAAGATTAGTGGATCCTAGTAGAATAAGAAATTTAGAGAAAAGTTGGGCTATAGCTATGCATGCAATAACATATAATCACACAATAGGGTGGGATAGGGCGACAGTATTAACAATTAACTTAGTTGAGTGGAGAGTGAGATTGATAACCGAATTTTTGTTTATCGAATCAACATCAAATATATGTAATGGAAATGATTCTACACTTTTCGTAGATATATGGAAACTTCTGCTACCCTTGTCATCATAGAGAAGGAGAGGAAATTAGAACTATATAAACTATGTCTCAAAGTTGTGAAGTTACCTGCTGATATGAATATGGTCAATACATTATGTCCGAAACGTAATCCAGCAAATGATACTGTTTCACTGTGTGACATTTCTAATAAACTGTATAGGACGGAATACTTAAAACTAATAGTAAAAGGGAGGACGATATTCTAGCTCACAAGTTAATGAATAACTGATATCTGACTTGTTCACAGAACTTAGAAGTAGGCAAAAGAAAGCGTTGTATATTGAAGCGAAGTGCATAGCTTGAGTTTACAACACATAATAAAGTACGTAAAGATGACATCACACACAGAAGTATATCCAATCAATGATTCTGATAATCTTCTAGATCAAAACCAGAAAATCTGTACTTCTCAGCATAGAACAGACTAACGACCTATGACTTCATCTATAAGTTCCATATCCTCGTCTCTTAATTATTTTTATCACTTTTGTAGCCTGTATATAGTTCAGCTCATGTCTCATAACCTGGAAAATAAAAGAAGCATAGGATGTATAACTAGCCTGAACTGTAAATATATAGAGTAACTTCAGGAGACTGTACTGTTTAACCCCATAGAAGATGGATATTGAAAAAAGAGTAATCAAATGAAAACAAAGCAACATGAAAAAAGTAGATATGCTGAGAAGGCAACGTCATTGAACTGCAGCTAAGGCTAAAATGGTAAATGAATCTAGTATATTGGTTCCTTTTTGAAAAAAGAGACAAGCGAAACTTATGATAACAAAGAAATAGTTGATATGAGTAGAAATATGGGAAATATTCTGAAACGAGTATGAGAGACTACATATATCATGGCAATCGATTTCAAGCCGTTATTATTATTTATCTGTCCCTTGGGTTCCTAATGAAACATAGGGCTTCAGTAGCATGTCTCCAGCACACTCTGTTTCTCTGCAATCTTTTCAACCTGACACCACGACAGTCAACAAGCTTTCATTTCTTCCTCATACGATCTCCTCCATGTCACCTTCAGCTGAGACGCCCAACTCGTCGTTTTCCATCTGGGTTCCACTCGAGGGCCTGGCGTCGGTCTTCTCAGTGTATGCCCAATCCATCTCCACTTTCTGCTGCATATTTGTTGAGCGATACCTTCTTGGTTGATTCGTTCCCAAAGTTCCGATTTCAAGCCATATATTTAAAATCTACAATCACTAATTCCTAGCATACTGAGTAATCTAACAGGCACACGCTTAACTTCATGGTTCAAATCTGAAGTTATATCACTATTTACCATGTTATATTTAGTGCAGATGTTTTGTTCAAAATTACTGACCATCATGAAATACGCCGATAAACACTTCTCTTTTGATTTAATAAACCGTTGAATTTCTTTGTCAGAACCATTGATATTATTCAAAATAACTATGAAATTTATACTGGTTATAATTGGAGGTGAGATCGAAATTTAGACCGCGGACGGATTCGAACCGTTGACCATCGGGTTCCCGGTCCAATGCTCTACCAACTGAGACATGAGGTCCAATTTCTGGCCATATTTTTATTTCACTTCAATCACCAAAAGTTTTGCCCGACTACCAAGTGAATTCGTAACACGTAACTACCGCTTGATTATATTCACACTGGGTGCTTAGTCAAGACTTCTCATCCCAATTCAAATCATCACCCAGTACAAATAATAGTCTGCCAAACTACGGCTACCTCAAATAGTCAAATGGTAATCAATATAGTATTCCCCCTGTCTAATTCAGTTAGACTGGGATTTGGATCAGAAGTCCTGACTGAGCACCCAGTGTGAATACAATCAAGAGGGAATAAATCGTCAAGAATTCAAATGGTTGTCAGGCAAAACCCTTGGTGACTGAACTGAAATAAAAATACGGCCAGAAATCGGACCACGTAGCTCAGTTTATAGAGCATTGGGCCGGGAACCCGATGGTCACTTGTTCAAATCCGGCTGCAATCCAAATTTTCATCTCACCTTCAATTATCACTCAATATAAATACTAGTCTACCAAACTACGGCTATCTCAGATAGTCAACCTAGAACTATGGAATTCTTTAAAATTTCCATACTGAAATTCCCTTCGTTTATCCTTAATCCTGTTGGTTTAATTTTAGATCTGTTTGTTTATTCTCGGTTTCCTTTACACAATCTTATAAGAAGCCAAGGTCAATGGAACTAATATCGTGAAAAAACAACTCGTCTTGCAATAAAAACTAACATGACTAGGTTAAAATGAAAATCTTCTCCAGTTTTTATGTCGTCTAGAATACAACCATACCATTTATGTCTATCTAGTAGGGTGGAATAGTAAGAGCATACGTTCCTTGAGGTGACCAGTTAGAAGTGAGATCATTGCACACTAATACTTTACAGGGAATATCTCATAAACAACCATCCTTTTAAAAATAAGAGAAACGGTTAAGTGTTTTGATTGAGATTGTATTTTGAAGTAGGTAGTGAGAAGTTTACTTCAGGTTCAGTAGTGAGAAGTAGAAGCTCCATTTTGACAGTTGAAGTTCACGAGTTACGGTTTTAGTATGAATATTAAGGGTGAAGAGATAAGATTTAGAGTAGCGAAAGTGAGCTAAAAGGTTTCCCATTCATTGTGACTATTAAAATTCTTTCTTTACTGTTTTGTAGTTGGAATAGTTTCTACGGCCTAGGATTGTAGTTTGGGATTATATTACGTACCACTGTTCTAAATCATAACCCTAATGACAGTTTACAATGTTTAGGCTTACTTCAATTCCAAGAAATGTAAACCAGAGGAAAATTTCATCAAATGAATAAATGTTGAGAAAGAGTTTGTGATATTTTGATTTATCCCTGCTTGCACTTGATACGTTACTAATGATGATCATCGAAATTTCAGTATTGCTGCATAAACTGAGATTCTCAGGCTTGATATTACACAGAATAGTAGGTTTGCACTGCTGAGTTGTCTCAGGCTAGAACGAAATAGTCGTCCCAGAATTTTTGTGGTTCAATAACTAATGTAAATCTCTTCGACGATTACCACTTTTGTTATACTTTTTATTGGGAGTCAGCATGATTGAAGGTCATTCTAAGCATCTCCTAAGAAAACCATGATTCACCTAGTGTCAGTACTCAAAAGAAGTACTAGGCTAGAGGGAATAATACTGAACAACCCTTAGGTGACATTCTTCCATGATAACACTTAAATGTTAGATTAAACTGCAAGAATTCTGGTGTAAATTTGATGGCCAGTGTTATGTAAACTTCTTAACTTTAATGCAGTAAATGACTTAGATGTAATTTTGAGATACAAAAAGAAACATCATCTTTGTTACGTCTAACTCATGTTGGGTTAACCAAAATTTCTTGAATATGGTAGAAATATTCAGAGTCTCCTATTGTATATTTCTCTAACTAATGTTGACTGTCTAATATTAGACGAAATGTTACATTAAACTCCATGAAATACTAAGTACAAAACATATCAATGTATACTTTCTCCGGGGTTTTTGAACGTTTATCTGCAGTGAAATTCAAGATATATAAACTCTTAAATAAGAAAAAGCCAAACGGAAATGGTACGCACCAGACCACGATGGCATGATTCTTGATTGTGGTGGACTGGATTAGACTGGATCATGCAACAAACCGTGAGGGGCGAGAAGACGAGCATATGCTGTTTCACCGATGAAAATACCCTAGAGGATTAAGATTTCGCCAATCATGATTTATGTCTGTTTTATATCGAAAAAACTCGAAGATCTTCAGGCTACAACCAAGAACTTACCACAAGAGGTAGGGCAGAGAAGACAGGACTTCCTTCAGGTGGACGGAGAGAAGACAGAGGTGATGAGGGTACCCAACCAACCAACAACAACAAGCATCAATTACCATCAACGGGAGAAACCTAAAAGAAGTTGTCTCTTTCACCTATCTACCTACCTACCTAGTCAGCACAGTTTCAACTACAGGTGGCACAGGCACAGATGAGGATATCAAAGCCTGGATCGGAAAGACACCAACACAGGCCTTCCGGCATTAAGCGTGAACAAGATCCGAATTTTCAACACTAAGTTAGTCAAGTCAGTGCTTCCATGTGATGGTTGAGAGACGGCGCGTTACGAAAAGCACTTCCAACAAACCACAGACAACATATATCAACAGTTGCCTACCCTCGGTGCTGAAGGTCAGATGACCAGTAAGAATAAGCAACAAGGAATTCACTCTGGCAACGAACCAACGAAAAACCCATCGCCCAACAAGTGGAAATGGATTGGACATACACTGAGATCGTTTGGGGACATCACACACCAAGCCCTAGAGTGGAACCCCTATTGGAAACTACGAGTTGCGTGTCCGATGGTGAAATGAAAGGAATCGTGTGAGGAAGAAATGAGAGCTTATTGACAGTCGTGGAGCGAGATTCAAAAGACTGCAGAGAATAGAGTGAAATGGCGACGTGCTACTGAAGCCCTAAGTCCCACTAGGAACCTAAGGGATAAATAACAATAATAGCAATTTGCACTTCAAACCAACGATTATGTTAGATTGCTCTATGGAAACGTGAGGTTGTCGTTATGGGAATTTAGTCATTATTAGTGCAGAGTATTTTCACGCTGTTAAATTAAATCGACTAAATCGATAGTTATTCATCAGTATGTGGACTTCATTTTCATATGCCTTGACCCTTTTGTCATTTATTTATATGGTAAAATTACTTGATGATGAACCCTGTTAGAACAAATTTCAAACTTACGTTTAGGCTTATTCCGTACTCGTCATATGGATGTACCCATATTTACGTTGATACTACCACTAGGACACAAGCCCTTACACCAAATGTCTTAAACATCAAAGCCATGCTCATAAGTTATCCAATTTTTGATATTTACTAATTATGTGTTAAGTATTAGCTACCAGTTGGTATGCACTAAGAAGACCACTCGGAGACATAACACACTAGGCCAGGCACTCAAGTGGAACCCGGATGGGAAACAACGAGTTGGGCGTCTCAGCTGAGGGTGACATGGAGGAGATCGTATGAGGAAGAAATGAAAGCTTGTAGGCTGTCGTGGTGTCAGGTTGAAAAGATTGCAGAGAACAGAATGAAATGAAGATGTGCTACTGAAGCCTTATGTTCCATTAGGAACCCAAGGGACAAACAATAATAATAATCTACCAGTTGAAGGTCATGATCTTGCCACTTTTATTCCACTGAAAAGAATAAATGAAACCAATGATTTACCTAGAAATGTACAAAAAAGAAATAATTAAAGCTTACTTTCAAATTAAATGTCTCAATTAATGCTGTTTCATGTAACGCTAGTGTATTACCAACACTGCGTACTTCTAAACCTTCAGTAGTCATACCAACACCAAGTTCTGGATGGTCTCTAATACCACGTTCAATTACATCAGCAATATATTTCAATGATGGAGCATATTGTTTCATTTGATAATAACATAAAGCCATATTATAAGCTAAAGTTGGTTGAAATCCAGTCATCTTTAGACAAAAAAAGTGTAAAATAGTAATACATAAAAATTTAGTTATTAATATAATAATAATTTCAGTAGGTAGTATATTAAGTGAAGTATAGTGAAAAGCATCTCTACTAACATATCTAAGCATTAATTTCCGTTCCTAAACTTCTAGTTCACATTAATTTTCCATTCAGATTTGATCAGTAATCAGTGACCTTCTGAGTTAGCATTCTACTCCAGTTTCATGATACGAGAGCCTCTTTCATTAAACCTCTGCTAGAAACACTACTAATCAGTCAATGTATAGTGATCAACATTGTATTGCTTTATAATAACTGCTGATTAAATTTTGTTATTAAAAGCCGCTATGTAATGTATGAACACCATGAAACTGTCTTTTGGTTCAGTTACTATGAACCAAATTGAAAAAAATTTCAGTTAACTATAAGAACTAGACAATATATAATACCAAGTGACAGTTTGGTTTGCTCCATGCACTCCTACATAGGGTTATTCATGAGTCGGAAAGTTAAGTTGTAGTATATCTGGACATGGTAGTGAACAATGCGATTTCGAACTGTTAGATGATGATGCAAACATACCTACTCAATAACAACAGTAAGTATACAGACTTATTTAGCTGAAGTTTTTTCATGGCTGGTTACAGTCGTTCATAACTCTGAGTCATGTAAACCGCTAATAATGATTTGATCTATTAGTTTCCAGTTTTCGATGAGACATATAGTATACAAATTTGAGGTAATAAGGATTTTATCACATATGTATTTGTTGGTTACAGCGTATACTACTTAATCAAGTTTTTCAACTGCCCAACTGTGAGACTTGTTAACGTGAATCGTTTGCAAATCCATCATCCTATACTGGAACATGTAAATCCACTAGCCAGTATTAGGTGACCTGAACAAGTCCTATCTGTGGGCTAAATTTATCCCGGTACACCACTGATAAGCTTGCACCAAAACGAGCGAAACAGCCGTCCGCTGTTTAGATCACTTTGATCTGACTGGCGAAATATACAGATAAGTCTAAGTAGTTTCTAACCAATCATATCGTTCAGTCGTATTTCTCACTACCATGAAAGCATTCAAATTTGTCTGTACAAAACCATAGTGAATGAAATGTTGAAAGGTTTGTAGGTATAATTTCTTATTTACTGGCAAAACTTTTCAATAGGATTGGTTTGTTGCATGTAAAAGCCTAAGTCACCTTGTATTGGAAACAGGAAGAGGTCAATTTTCAAACTCAGCTATTCGGAACAGCTGTGTTTGTTAGGTTAATGTTTACCTTTTGATAGATGATAACTAAATTAAAAAAAAAAGAATCACAGAAGAAACTGGACAACCTGACTTAGGATTACTGGAGAGATTCTTTACTAATTTCCAGCGAATTCTCCATTCCTTTATTTTAAACGTAGAATAGCATGCATTCAATCTCGCCTGGTTAACTAGTTCACTAGTTACTAGCCGGTTCTAAGCCCGGATAAACAGGGAAGGTTGGGCATAAGGCTAGTAACCCTACACCGGAAAACCAATCTAACCCCTAAAACAAACTTCAAAGCACAAAGAAATTATAAAAAATAAAAACAAACTTATTCCTCAAGGGAATCGGAGAGACAAAATGACGCCAGTTGGTGAAAGCCGTTGCGAAGACAATTGAACGATGTGTCTTCTCTTCTCTCGATAAAAGCAAAAGTAAACATGGGGACATGAAGTGTCCAAACAACGTATCAACCTAACAAGGCTGCCCAAATTGCAAAGGAGATGAGAAAGTATATCATAGAAGTGCTAGGCTGGGAATCTGCGAAAGTAGGTGGAATGCAAGTGGGCTCTCCAAACTGTCAACAGGAGAGGAGAGTCAATAATCAACTCTGGTCACCCAGATGACAACCACGAGCACATGGAGGAAGTGGCTATCATGATGTCTCCTATGACATCGAGGGCTGTCATACAGTGGGAAACAATCTCCTCCTCCGGGATCGGCATCATGACAGTAAGTTGGATTCAACTCGAAATTAAAGAAAGTCACAATCATACAATATTACACTACGCACCTACAAATAATGAAGATTAAAAGAAGAAGGGAGAATTCTACAGACAACTGCAATTGGTAGCGGACAAGACTCCACCCCAGATGGCGACATCAAAATTTTAGTGGGTGGGGTGACATGAACGCCAAACTGAAAGCGGACAACACAGGTAGAGAATCAACCATGGGTGGAGAAGCACTCGGTGAAATGAATGAGAATGGAGAACTGTTTGCAGATTTCTGCGTATTTAGCTATTTGATGATTGGAGGCAGTATGTACAAACACAAGGATATCCACAAAGCGAACGACATGGGTTTCATTTCACCAGATGGGCACACTACACTAAACATCACACCGACTTCATCTCAATCTGAAGAAGGTGGAGACACAGCCAGCCTACTGGACACAAGATCCCGAAGAGGAGCAAATGTAGGTTCACACTAATCACTATCTACTGCAAGGAACCTACCTACAAAATCAAGTTGGAAGCCTTCAAAGAAGTTGGTGATAGACGACCACAGTTCAAGTTCAACACCCAGAACACAAACTGAAGAATGAAACTACAAAGGACATCTTCATGTCAGTCAGTCGTCAGGACAAAATGGGGGACATTCAGCAACATTCGTGAAGAAACCTGTGTTGAAGAACACTGGAACTCTCTGAAAGAGATGCAGAATGAAACTTGCATAACCGAGTTAGGAATGAAGAAGAAAGAAGACAAGGAATGGATCTTCACGGACACATGGGAGCTGATAGAGCAGCAAGAGGAAGATGAACCGGTGCAGTGCGGTGCAGGCATGAACAACGAAAAGAGGAACTGAATACAACGTATCAAACACCACACTGGACAAAGAAGTGAAGAAGAGTGCGAACAGAGACAAAAGACACTTCGACGACACACTTGCAAGTGAAGCAGAACAGGCTGCAGGTAGGAGAGACAGAGATCTGACAACAATGTATCAAATAACCAAAATACTATCGGAGAAGAGATCAACGCAGATGAAACCAATGAAAGATAGTGGGGGAAACCTAGCTACCAAAGAGAAGAAACAAAGGAAACAATGGGCAGACTACTTCACAAAACTCTTAGATCGACCACCACCACCACCACCACCACCACCACCTGAAAACTCGTCCAGATATACCACCAACAACGGCAGAACTACCAGTGAACACAAGTCCTCCGACAAAAGCAGAAGTCCTGAACGCCATAAAGCTGCTGAAATCCGGGAAAGCAGCAGCATCAGATGGAATGCCACCAGAAGCACTGAAAGCAGGCGCAGAGGCAACAGCAGACATGCTCAAACCACTACTACAGAAGGTTTGGAAGTAAGAGAAGGAACCCATCTATTGGTTGGAAGAAGGGTTACCTTGTCAAACTCCCAAACAAGGGTGGGCGACCTAGGTCTTTGCAAGAACTGGCGAGGAATTATGCTCCACACCTGTCCACACCAGGCAAAAATTAGGCCGCATCATCCTAGATAGACTAAACAATGCTCGGGATTCAAAATTGTGACCGGAACAGGCTGGATGCCTGGCTTCAGGATGAACAAATCATGTGCAGATCAAATTGCAAAGCTACCCTACGCATCATCATACAACACAGCATAGAATGGCAGTCAACTCTCTACATAAACTTCATCGACTTTGAAAAGGCCTTCAATAGTGTCGACCAAGAAGTAATTTGGAAACCAATTCAACACTGCGATTTTACTGACACAAATCTTTATCAATCTCGTTCAACAGCTAGATAAAGACGTTACATGCCAAGTGATTCACAATGGAAAGCTCAGTGATGCCTTTGAAGTGAAGACAGGATTAAGACAAGGCTGTCTACTATACCCATGATCTTCCTGATTATAGTGGACTAAATCATGTAACAAACTGTGAGGAGCGAGAAGAGGTGGATACGCTGGACTGGGGAAAAGAACCTAGAAGATTTGGATTTCGCCGATGATGATTTATGTCTAATGTCGCACAAGCTCGGAGATCTACAGGCAAAAACCAACAAGTTGACAGAAGAGGCAGGGCAGCGAAGACAGGACTCCTTCAGATGGACGTAGAGAAGACAGAGGTGATGAGGTACCCAACCGACAACAGCATTAACAACAACAAGCACCAATCACCATCAACGGCAGAAACCTAAAGGAAGTTGTCTGTTTCACCTATCTACCTACCTAGGCAGTACCGTTTCAACTACAGGCGACACAGGCCCAGATGAGGACATCAAAGCCGGGATCGGAAAGACGGCAAGACAGGCCTTCTGCATTAACCTGAAATCAGTGTGGAGATGTATTGAACTGCACTGCACTCAGCATAAAGCGTGAACAAGATCCAGATTTTAAACATCAACGTCAAGGCAGTGCTTCTATATGGTTCAGAAACTTGGCGCGTTACGAAAAGCATTTCCAACAAACTACAGACGAACCGACCAAGAACTCATCTCCCTACAAATATGCAGAAGAAAGTGGAGACGGACTGGGTATACACTGCGAAAACCATTCGGAGACATCATGTGCCAGACCAGGTCCTCGAGGGGAATCCAAAGCGTCAACGACGATTTGTACATTCTTGCTAAGGGTGACATGGAGGAGATCATGTGAGGAAGAAATGAAAGCTTCTGGACAGTTGTGGAGCCAGGTTCAAAAGACTGCAGAGAACGGAGTGCAATGGAGACGTGCTACTGAAGCCTTATGTTCCACTAGGAACCCATGGGAAAAATAACAATAATAAGCATGCATTCAACCAAGTCCTATCATCTTAAATGTGACTGATAAAAAGTATTCATGCAATGTAAAAGAACACAAGTATGAAATCTTCACCTTCAGAATTTTCATCAAATGATAATCTACTTTCAACTGATAATAAGAGACCAACAGTCAACTGGGACATGATCAGAATGCATCTACACCCAATTGAACCTTACTCATTAGAGCAAAACTCTATTTAAAGGGTATCTGGCTGTCACTTCAGTGAGTGAGTACTAATCCAATAAATCCATACAATGGAATTACACCATAACTACCAATTTTCATGATCTTACAGTGAGATTCATTAGTCAAAATAATATCAGATGACTTTTACAAATCATTAAAAATTCAAGTAAAAATTATTTTGCAAATCTAAAGAGTTACCTACTTGCATAGCTTGTTGAAAATGTTGACATGCCTTTTGATAATCACCTTCACGGTATAACAGACAACCAAGATTAACAATTGAATCAACATCACCAGAGAAATTTTGTTCAACTAAACTTCGTGAACCAGCCAAATCTCCTTCACCATAACGTATAGCAGCTTGTAATTTAGTGAGTTTTTCTCTAAAGTCTGGATTGTCGATTTGAGCTGCAGCCTTTTAAAGATTTGAAAATAAAAATCAAAATATTCCTGAGATCTGTAAAGAATAGGAAGATGATTTTAATGTATACCATAGATCAGATTGTTTGATAGTTAAAGTTTCAGTCTGAAAGTTATTTCTAGGGTGATATGACAAATGTCATTCAGTTGATTATAAGCATGAACCTTGAAGTCTATTACAGCAAGCAATAAGAAACAGTCAATCAAAAGTTTGTAATTCTTTCTGTTTTGCAGTGAAATAAAACGGTTCATTCCCCGTTAAATCGATCCATATGGAAAGCAACCGGTAATTTTTCCTAACTTGAAAACGATATTCCATAATCATTAGGTTGGTAACTTTTGTCTTATTGTAATGTTTGAAATGGAATGCTGAAAAAGTAACTTGTTTTCGTAGAAACTCTACCCTTAACTCGTGCAGTTACTTAGGCACATACAGGCAATTGTGAGAGCTAGAGACGACAACCAGTGATGTTTCAAGGGGATGCTCACTTTAATCACCTATTTTCAGCTGTTTTACCACTACACGTATGACTCATTTCACCTTCAACTTCTCTAGGGTTTGTCTTCTGCTGAAAGATTCCATAAGTGAAGGAGATATTGAGATGATGCAAAGACTTTGGAAGTTCCAAAGTAGATATTTAAGAATGCTTTACATACGTTCTATATCTTTTAAATGTTATGAATCAAATAATGTTTTCTGTAGCACAATTTTAAATCAAGGAGTTGTGAATGATAATATTTTCCAATTTATAGTGACCAGACTGAAACCGCAAATCAAGACTGTGATAATATAATGTGTTCTAAGTTTCTTCTATCGAATACTCGTCAATCGGAAAGAAAATTGAAACAGGATAAAAGTTTATGGTTTCAGTGGTATTTCTTTACATCATGAGTCAGATGATGGAATGTCTTACCGCGACATATCGTCATACCTCCCTCAGTCGCATGGTCTACCACGCATGTACTCAGGTAGTCACCAACCTCACTAGCCCCCAACTCTCTCCTAACTACCACTCACTATCTCCCTCCTTAATACACCCACATTACCTACTAATTCTTCTGTAAGAACCAAACCCACGCTACCATTGACACAATTCCAAAATAATTTTTTTTTGTTCTTATTTCTCTTTTTCACCCCCTCCTTTTCTTCTCCTTCCCTTCTTTTCCCTTTTCTCTTCCCTTATTAATATTCTCCTCCTTTCTTTCTCTTCTTCTCTCTTCATTCTTTTACCACTATCTTACTATTCTCTTTCAGGTACCTACACAGACAGGGGTCGCGGCAGTTCCCTAAACTTCCCAGCAACCCGTAGCTCCCCAATCACTCTACAAATTACAACTTACTAACCCACAAAACATCCACCTCACCGAAGCTAAAAGCAAGAAAGCAGAGAGGATTTCCTCGTCCACTGCAGGAGTGAACCGAACAACTCGAACCGAGCCCTAAGAACTAGACGCGAGAGATCAAAAACTATCAGTTTTCTACGCTCGCACTATCAATATTGGATATTGGATAGATGAAAATGGTTCACAGCAATGAACTAATCGAAAAAGGAACAGGGAGACAAACAGATGGATAGATATGTATGTAGACAAATCAACAGTAAGTGGAATGCAAAAACTGTTTTACTGAAATATTTTAAGTTGGTTTCCAACATGGAGTGACATCCCCACCAACTCGGAGATTCAATGGGAATATTTTATCGTATATTTTCTAAGAAAATGAATTCCATAACAAATGGTATATCGGACTATTATAGATACGTAGTAAAATACTTAATAATTTGAGGCAAAAACAGGCTAATATTTCTCCATCTCTACACACATTCTTGTTTAATTTTCTACCAATATCATGTCGCTTTACATAATGATTAAATGTCAATGAAGGTTGATAGATGATGTATTTGCAATATTCTGTGTAAGATAGTAAAGTAGTATAAAAAAAATGTGATAACCTTTGTTGTGTAAATGGTATTGAACTTCACTGTTGTGCTGTTATTGACAGGTAAAGACTAGACTGTGCTAAATACGAAACGTGATACAGTAGTCTGTGTTCAACATTCTACATTTCTAGAGAGTACATAAAAGTTTTAACCAACTGACAATTAAATCGTTGAATAGTTTTGTCTAGATATATAAGGAATTTGTTTATTTTTCTCTTACATCATGTCAAGTCACAAAGAAATGAATGACAACTGTGTAAATTAGTTAGTGAGAGGCAATCGGTAGAAAGCCTTAAACCCAAGCTTCATACTTGTTGACACTCTGAATGTAGGAACTTCACTTTACAGCCAGCTAATTCACTAACTTTTTTATATCTGATTAACAGAAGCTTATATCTGATATCAGTACTATGTAGTTAGTTGTTCAATGAGATTTAACTAATTAGACAACGATCTATTTGTAAAATTTTCACTTCTTCCAACTCATTGCAGAATGTCATTGATTGTCATATGATAGAGTAGAATCTACTCCTCAGCCAAGAAAAATGCAGGATTTATACGAGGTAACCAGAAGTGGAGATAGAGAAAAATACAAAGGACAGAAATGAAGATGGATACTTAAAACGAATAACTGTACTTTCATAGTTGTCTCAGTCATTTGCAAATCAAGTTACTCTTAATATCACCTTTTTTCATATAAACCAAAATGTTTCCACTGAGTTGCTCAACCGTTAACTGGAAAAGGCTGTTTTATAGACAATGTGAATTCCTTAGATTTTGATTAATGCTGTTGTGCATCAGCACACAGACACTGACAAAATCAACATAGAATCTTACACACACACAAGTGCATCGGCTCAAGATACTACAGTTCACTGTATTAAACAAAGAATAGGTAGATAGAAAAAGAATGATATCAAAGTAGATAAAGTAGTTTAAGAGAATAAACAATCCAAAGATAAAGGTTAATGCAAATATTCAAGCTTTAGAAGACGTCAAAGAGTGAATATATCTACGCTGTTGTGACCCATTTTCAACCATGTCACCCAGAGTTCCTCAACCACTGTTTCCTTTCATATCGAGGACCCCAACCAGGCAGTGTAAATCTCCCCATACGGTCCAAACCAAAGTTTAGGGACTTCATCAACTGGTGCAACGTCTTGGTTTTGCCACCCTCAATCCTCTTCCAACCTAGCCCAACTTTCCTTAGCATTGCATGTAGAGGTAACCAATGGATTGACATGTGCAGTACACTTCCAAGCTACCTCGGTCTATGGAGGTTCATAACCTCATCAATGGACTTGCCTCTCCTCCCTAGTACTCTTCACCTGACCTCAACATTCCGCACATGGTGGTTCTACTGAACACGAGAAATGTTACGAAAAAACTATGATTAAAACCCAGTAATCGTTCCTTGGCTTCTACTTCTAGTGACCATTCATAATCAGTATAGATATAGGAAACTGTGGAACACTGAACTCCGACCTAGTGTTTGAATACTTAACGCATTTAACGTGAAAGCTGAAGGTCCTGAGTTCGATCCCTGGCCGGGTTGTGGGTGCATGTTGTTGAGGAGTTCCATACTATGACGAAACAGCTGTCCAGTGCTACCAGCTTCTAAATGGTTCTTCAACTCATATCAATCCCGAATAAATACTACCTTAAGAATTCTGTTTGTTTTCGTGTGTCGATGTCATCGTCAATGTTTGTTAGTACCTTCTGCTGAACACTCGCTATTATACGACCTACATGCTTCCTGTTAGAAAGACAACGAAGATCTCTTAAATTAGCCCTATGTACTTATATCTTCTCTTGAATGTCCTGAATTCTTCACTTTTCTCTTTCTTGATATCTCTGGGATAAGACTGCTCATAGTGAACACTGAGAGAATTTGAAATGAAGTAGCCTACACGAAAATCCATGCGAAACATTTTCCTTGACAATCTGTAACCTGTGAAATTACAATTTTTCAGACAGAAGTTGAACATAAATCTTGGGACCAATGAAACTGACAGAAAGTATTCCAGGTACATATGTGGGATGAGTTGTCTCTTTTTAAGTCATGTCTAACGATGTCTTCATTAGTCAAAGTTGTTTCATGGCTTTAAACAAAACTATAATTCTGTTCATTGTCATCAAGTTATAATTGAGTCTATGCTATTGTAACTCTGTTGGTGAGCGCAGGTATTTAATACCGTGTGATACAGGTAGTGTGAACTGCTCGGTGAAACTGTTTGGTGTACTGCTTTTGAAAATGCATGAAATACACCTACTGCAACTAAAATTTCCGTGCGGGATAATTTAATTCACCAATTAATTCTGAAAACATCACAATATGCTTCCGAAGAAACAAAAACAAAACAGTTAATTGAAGCCGAAGCTAAAGTCACATATCCTAATAAATTATTTACCAATAAAACCTAATGGACACAGCTTAAAAGTAACAGGCAATGACATCCAATAGAATAAAATCTGTAGGTACCGATTTTAGTGATATGTTTAGAATAATGTGCACTTTGGATATGGAAAAACCAAGAGGACTAGATGACCTGCACGATGGGTTTCTCAAAGATCTTGGACCCTACGTAGGTGGCCCATTGAGTGCCATATTTAGACTGCCACTCAAGTTAGGTTCACTCTCATTCAACCGGAAGGAAATCGTAGTCACATCCATCCACAAGCGAGGTTCTAGGAGAAACCCATCAATTTAAAAACCAATAAGCCTGACTATTATTGTAACAAAGGTAATCCAGAAAGCCATTATGGTTTTCCCTTGGAAGCAAAACTTTATAGTCCTGTTTGCAATAAGGCTTTTGCAGAAGTTTCCCCTGTTTGACAGAACTTATCACAATCAGAGAAAGTTGAGTTGATTCCAAGAATGATAAGATACTCTTATATGTCATATTCATGAACAGTAGTAAGGCATTCCGGATCGCTCATGAAACTGAAAAATTTGGGAATCACTGACAACCTACTTGTACGGAATCGAGAGTTCCTTTTTGGTAGGAGATAAAGAATAAGTGGCAATTCCCAACCTTTCTATTGGAAGTTGGTAGAGAGTGGAGGGCCGAAAAGTACAGTCCTAGATTCCCTGCTATTTCCCCTATACACAAATGAACTGCAGAATATCACGTAATCGTAAATGGTTCTCTCTACTGATGATGCAAAATTTTGGCGGTAAATTAAGAATGACGGAAATGTACGTACGCTTCAGACAGACCTAAACAGTTTCTAACCTGGTTATAGAAACGGCTAATGCATATCAGTTCACTTGTGTGAGTATGCATTTGAGAAACGCAGACGACAATACCTATGATATTGTTAAGACTCCTCCACCCTACGTTTGACCAATAATGTCGTAGGAGTTACAGTTAGTCACAATCTGAAGAAAACAACGCGTTGTCCTTTGGTCTTTACTCAGATTTTAGGCATAATTTAAGCATTACGGAGAAAGTTCATCAAAGTGATCAATGGTGTGTCCATCGCCTGATACACATCCTTTGATAGACATAAACTGGAAGACTATGAATAATAGGTGACTCAGACCTTCTTTAAGAAGTTCAGATGGTGGTTACTTATATTATTTCTATGATGATTATCCTGAACTACGAAAGACGACTTCAGGAGCTAGACTTCTTTTCTCTGTAGTATTGCAGACAGAAAGGAAATCTAATCATGTTATAGGAGATTTTTAAAAGTGGCTTTGAACATGATGTATCTTTTTTTTCCTTTCCCACCAGGTTAGAGCACCTCAGAAGACATTGCAAGAGACCACAAAAAACAAATGCCATCTTTGTAGAATAGTATTTTTCGCGTTAAGTAGTCAACTCTTTGAACCGACTCCTAGGAGAAGTGGTAACTATATCACCAACTGACTCGTTAAAGAGAGGAATGGAAAAGCACAAAGATCTTTGTAGAAGAGGTTTAACGTAGCCTTCTATCCTCAAACCGAATTTTCTTCACTCAGCAACTGATTGTGAGCCTTTATTCAAAATATCTCTTGTTCTTATTAGGTGGAGAGTGACATAAACTACAATAACTTCACACTCAAACTGATCTTCAATGCAATAAAACCAAAGCACAAAATGACTTTCTAACTACTACTTCTGAGACAAGAATTCAAAATGTGCATTGACATATTTCCTTTCATGGGAGAGTATTGACAAGACATCCGCAGTCCCTAGCACTTCAAGGTTTCAAAGCATTAACATATCTATACGCACACTTGTTTGTTGAGTTTAAGTGGTTATATGGTGGTTCACAGCCCACAATCACCAAGACAAGTAATCTGCTAAATAAGATTGAAGGCAAGCCAATACTATGATCATTATTTTTTGCTTAGCACATTACAACCTTTATTTGTTTGAATACGGTGTTGCAACACTTCTTTTTCGTCCTATGACTTCTTTCACCCCATTTCAAAAGAAGGATGTCTTTGTAGTGAAAGCCACATACTTTCCTCAAAAATGGCCATCATCAGTTGTACATCAATTGAATCAAGAATGTTGTGCATTCCTTACAAACTAATGGAAAAGATTGGTTTACTGGGTCCAATATCCAATATCCAATATTGATAGTGCGAGCGTAGAAAACTGGTAGTTTTTGATCTCTCGCGTCTAGTTCTAAGGGCTTGGTTCCAGTTGTTCGGTTTACTCCTGCAGGGTCGAATAACATCAGCAACAAAATGCCATTCTTTAGGATAGAAAGCTGAATATTAATAAATCTGCCACTGAAATTTTTGATAATCAACCAAACTGACGAGTTTTAATCGGCAAAATTAATTTTACAAACAGTTCTCTGTGTTTGAACAAAAAGATGAAGTCGCTTACTTTCAGTGCTGCCTGAAACAAATCTGCTTTATACAGGGATTGAGCAAAATAAAATCTATATTCATTCACCTCTGGGAATAGTTGCGTTAACTGTTCATAGCAATCAGAAGCACTAACAAAGTCCTGTAACTGATAAAAGCAATAACCAAGAAGAGAGAGGGCTGCTCGGCTGCCTGGGTGAGTAAGGAGTTGTTGGTTTAGTACGTTTATGGCTTCTTTATACTTCTGATCTTTTATTGCACCGTATATAAGTGCTGTAAATTCTCCTTCTCTCACTTGCATAATTTTGTAAGCATGAAAGAGGTGTTGCTATGATGTACAAGTATAAACAATCAAGTAATACACAACCTCACAAATTGAACATTCAACATTCGGCACCAGTAGGTTGAGTATGGAAAGTGGTGGCATTTTAGCTCTCGTATCCTGTTATTAGTGCTTGTTTTTTGACTGAAAAGAAGGAGGCTTAGCATGACTAAGTCTGGATACTGAAGTATTTGACCCAAAGTTGCTAAATTAGCATTCATTTGTGAGGCGAAGATAGCCCTGTGACGTAATGTACCCTGTTTCCCCTTTTCTAGTATCCAGTGTCCCTATGCTAACCAGTGCAGATTAAATGATATCTTTGTGCTCGCCATTACGTCTTTGGGAACAGTTCTAGATATTTCGTGGATTCCGATACAGTAAGTCTACCCAACAGAGGTAGGCCGTTGTTTTAGTTTATAGGGGTTCTATGACTTATCGAAGGGCTGGGGTTTAGATAGATTCCTCATGTATTGTGTTGCCAGTCATTTGTTCGAACTAATTGTAAAAAGACGTGCGGAGAAAACAAGAAAGATAATGTGAGAAGAAACTAGTTCAATATCCGATATCTGTTTATCGAACTCGTGTAAACCGGGTGATTTCTTCTTGGTCTTCCGGAGCGGCTCCAGGTATTTGGCAGATTACTATGCAGTATATTCAGCCACTCTTTTGCTATAGCCCTAGTTCGCCTTGGACTGTGTACAGTTGGCTTCTTTAGATGTCGAGTCACCAGACAGTTGTTCGAACTGGTCGTTAGAGAGAGTCAGAGATAGCGAGTAAAAGGGGAAAGAAAAGCAAACTAATGGAGTAATCCACTTACACCCAATTTGGGTGAAAATGATGCAAAGATATGAAGAGCTTAGGCAGGTGAAACTAACTCGTGGCAAGTGGAAGGGATGAAAAGAGCCTAAATGGTTACAGTAGAAATAAAACTGGTAGTAGAAGCAAAATAGTTGGAATGGAGTGACAGTAGTAGATTTCTTCTGTTTAGTTCATGTTCCGGCCACATGTGAGTAGACCATGGGTCTCTGAGTGACTGTCTAGCCTTTCCTGAAGCTTTCAACAGATGGGGCGGAGGCTACTTCCGCTGGCAACGCATTGTAGTCCCCGTAGACTCAGAGGGGGAAGAACTGTGAACGCACGTGAGTCTTTGACCTTTGGTGGGCAATTTTCTTAGGGTTGCCAAGAGGATCATCATAGTAACCACTCTGTAGTAATCCTCCGCCAGGGCGACTTGGTCGTTCACTATTTTGTAAGCCATTATAGGGTCACCTAGTAACCTTCGGTAGCTAAGAGAGCATAGGGCTAGCTCCTTCAGTCTATTCTTAAATGGTCTTCTATGCATTCCAACAACCCTTCTTGTGACTAGACTCTGAACTTCCTCCGGCAGGCTCATGCCTCTTTCAAGTTGCGCTGGAACGAAGACATTATGGACCTCTAAGTGAATGGCATGTAAGTCTTGCAGAGCCTCAGAGAGAGCTCTGGGGTTAGGGCACCTAGTTATCTGCGCACAAAGTGCAGTACACAGTATGCTCTTGAGGCGTCATCTGGGTGGTTGGGACCGGTGCCCGGTTTCTCTATCACGTCAGGCCCAAGTCTTTTTGACTAAGTATGGGATTAACGTGGACCACAGAGAGGGTCGGATGCTTTCTAGGAATCAGGACTGTCAAAAAACGTGGACCGGCACTTATTCAGGCCAAATGCCAGTTCGTTATTTGTTGCCCACCCCCCTAGTGTTCTGAGGTCGTTATGTAATGCACTCGATCCCACTTTGCAAGTTATTCCCACCCCATAACTTCACGTGATCAGCGTAGAGGAGAATCGGAGAGCCGATATGCAGTGGGAGGTTATTCACGGACAGTAGGAACAACAGTGGCCCCAAGATTGCTCCTTGTGAGGTACCGGACGATGATGTTCTCCAAGTTGAGTGGACCGTGTTGGCTCTTGTCCACAACTCCCCACTGTCTAAATATTTCCGCAGCCACGACTGCACCCGGCTGCGGATACCTGACCCAGCTGCTTTGTGTATTAGGATGGTGTCTGTGTCAAAGTCTTTGGCGAGATCCAGAAAACCGCGTGGACCGCGACCTTGAGACCCCAGCATGCTGTTAAGCGATCATGGACCGCCAGGAGGTTGAAGGCACAGCACCTGCCCTTTCGGAAGCCGTGTTGAACGTCACTGAGTGCCCGCTTCGTGACCGGGTATTCCCTGATGCGGCCGTCTATCACACTTTTCGTAACTTTTGATGGTTCGGGCATACAACAGTTTGGATTCTACCTGTTTCCTTTAAAGACGAGGGCAAGGATGGCCTGTCCCCACTCTCGTTGGATTTTTTGTTCGTCCAAGGAGTGTTGGAAGAGACTGCAGAGTGGACCAGCTGGGGTGCCTGCACATTATTTCAACACAGGCGAGCGTTGTCGCACCTTAGGGATTTTCCCGCTCTTAGCTTTGATAGCTTGTCGAGAACAGGAGCATGAGTTATCCGTACTTCTTGTGGCTCTGTGGCGTCGAATAACTTTGGGGGCTGTTCGGGCAGTAGATATGCATACTTTCCCGATGGAACGTTCAGCAGTGTGTCAAATCTGGTGCTTAACATTTTGGCGATTCCCTGTCCAGAAGGGTTTTCTCCTTTCTGATCTTTTATGATGCATACCCCTTGGCTTGAAAAGAAGCATCAGAAAAAGGGAGGAGAAAACTAGACAGAGTCCTGGAGGACAAAAGGAGAACTGTGTTGAGAAGAACCTTCATAAATAGCGTGAAATCAGAAAGCCAGGGAGAAGAGGTGGGCAAGACTATATGGGGGATAATGGGAATAGAAATGGCACTATTGTTGTCGGGTGTGTGGTGGCGCCTAACAATAAGGTGCGGAATTGAACCAAGTTTGTCATAATAAGGACGGAACAAGGGATTAGGTGTGAGACCGACTGTGCTAGAATGGTGCGAAACTGGTTGGTTATGTTTACCTGGCCCGTATCCCATCTGAATAAGTGCAGTCTGTGTGCCGCTCTCCGACCTCTTCTTAGAGCTGTCGACAGACGGGGCAGTAGCGGTCTCGCCGAAAGGGCGTTCCAGTGGCCAAAATCCTGTGGGGGGAAAACATGTGAAGGTGTATGAGTTTTTGCCTTTTGGTGAGCGATTTTCCCTGGGTTACAAAGAGGATTGACACGGTAGCCGTTCAGTGGGATCCTTTTGTTTGGATGACTTTGATGGTTCAATATTTTGTGAGGTGTCATTATGTCGCCACATAACTTATAGCAACTAATAGGGTGAGGCCGTAGCTCTTCCAGCCTGTCCTCATAAATTTTTTGCCGCACTTTCACAATTCCCCTTGGTGCCCTCCCCTGTACACTATCCAGGAAGTTCACATTTCTGTTCAGGTGCAAAGGCTTCACGATCCTCTAGGTGAGATCGCATCTAGGTGTTTCAGGGCTTCAGAAACAGTCTCGGAGTTATGACACCTAGTTGTCTGTGCATGAAGTCCGGTGCTGCCTATGCTGTGCAGCCATCCCCTGAACAACAAAAGCTGGTGCTTAGCTTGTCAGTCAGTCTCAGATCTTTCTTTCTGGTGCTGTGGGAAAGATGCGTACCACAGGGATAGTTGTGTGATTTTGGCAGCAGAGTGTAGAGAAACAAGGTCTGGTCTTTATCCAGGTTGACTGTCTGCCGCTATTATTCATCCGATCTGAAAGCAAACTGAGATCATCTTGTAGTGCACTTGATTCTATTTCAGACATTGCAGCTTAACCTAACATCGTCGGTGTAAAGTAGGATCAGGGTGGAAAAACTCGGTGGGCAGTAGTTCACGTAAAGAATGAACACCATTGGACCCGAAATCGCTGCTTATGTTACAACGGGTGATACTCTTCAAGTAGAGGGAATCTCGCATACTACTGTGCAAAATTCCCCGCCGTCTTGATGGTGCTGCAGCCAGAAGAGCACCAGGCGCTGACACCCAACCTTTCTGTTTCGCACATAAGTGTGGTGTATCAGACTGTGTCAAAAACCGTGGCAAATCCGGGGACCTCACGCGGATAGAAACTTGGGGGTCTCAAAGTGTCGCCCAGCTATCCCTGGCTGCCAGAAGGTTCAGAAGTAGTGTTGAGCACCACTTAGTGATCCCTGCCTGCCCAGACACACCGTATCATGTTAGTGTGTCAGCACTGATAGAAGTTCCATGGGTCAACAGCGTTTCGAGCTCCCCCTGGCCCTTCCTCTGGAAGCAAGAGGCAGAATAACGGGTTTTCACCCCGTGAAGCATGTATTTGTCTAGGGACTGTTGACGGACCGCTCAAAGCACTCGCGTATTGTTTCAACACAGACGAATCTTGTCCTGTTCCAGTAACTTTCCCGTGCGGAACATCAACAGTTCTAAGAGGGTCACAGAAGAGGTTACCTCTATTCCACGCAAATCCTCTATTGTCAGTGGTGCCGAGGGGCAATCAGGCACTTTGTAATTATGGTTGGATGACGTGAAGCCCAGTTTTTCTACGAAGATGGTGCCTCAACTTAAGGATATCTCCAGTTGAGAGAGGTTCTGTCCTTTCGGAAATTTCAGGACTCCAGCTTCCTAGCTAGTATATCTTAACTCTGCTGTGAATCGATGTAGCTTCTTCGGATTCGTCTCGAGCTTCCGAGTAAAATTTGTTTTATCATTGGTTTGACGCTACAAACCGCGACTGCTACTAATGGCAGGGGGGTTGAACCCAGGCGTTTCCTCCTAGTCGATGGTTGCTAGTAAGAAGATAGTTCCTCTTGGATGCCAATCCGCTGAACCTCCACTGACAGTCCTTTCATTTAGCCCAGCCATTTTGATGGCAGTGAGTAGGCTTCAGCTCGACGAAAGCCTTTAGTTTACCATGTTCTTCCCAGATCTGAGAGTCGTGGCATCAAAATCCCCCGCTAAAGCGACGTGGTCTTCTCCCATAGTCGTCATAGCGCACATTACTTGGAGCAGTCGTTGATCTCGTTCCACGCTACTGGT